GACTACGTTTCCATCGAGGGTCCAAATCGGGTCAGAGTCGGGTTAGAGTCGGGTTAGAGTTAAGTTGCCTTGCCTGTTTCCATTGGATCAGAGTTACGTTGGGGTTGGAGTTGGGTTGAACATTACCAACTGCACAAAGTCAACTACCATATTCTGACATGTAAAGGAGAGCAATATTAATTTTACAATATCAAAATAACATACAAAAATTATTTCTCAGATTACAAGATCACCGACAAAAAGTAATAATAACCTCTTCTACACCGATTAATACAACACGTGATACACAATGCAATTTGGATTTGTTATGTTGGCAATACGAACTCGACTCTTGTCGTTTCCACCGAACCTCAACTGAACGCTACCCTAAAATTTTGTAGGGTAGAGTTCAACTAAACCTTTGGCGTTTCCATCGTACAAGCGCTGACCCCAACCCGACTCTAACCCGACTCTGACCCGATTTGGACCCTCGATGGAAACGTAGTCTATGATAAGCATACACATGAAACTAAGTTATTAATAAATTATATTTATTGTAAAATGTACAAATAAACGCCAGATATGTTTCTAAATTTAATTTTAACGTGTATTCAAGATAACAATGCTCAATCTTCTTTTAATAATGATTTCTATAGTACAAATGTAAACATTTTGAGATAACTATTGTTAAATTACTTTTATATCTGCAGTTTTACTATCATCTATATAACAAAAAAAACAATGGTTTAATTAAAAATATACAATTTGTATTTGGAGACCATACGAGTTGTTTGGTTACGCTGTTAGACTATTTTTCATTTACGAATTTGCGCGGTGAATTTCTGAAATCTATCTACGTTGACAATTATTTTTTATTTTATAATAACAATATTTTATTATTGCACAATGATAACACCGGTTTTTATATGTTTATCTGGAAGCAAATGTAAGATATAAACCTTGTTCAATTTACTAATTTTAATAACAGTAAAATTTTAAACGAGTTATTAATATGAAAACTATAATAAAAACAGTTTTATTTTTTAAAAACTACATCTTTTACTAACTATTGTTATTTAAAATTGTTTGTGCAACATTTTTCTTTGTTTTTTATAATATTTGCAATTATTTAAAGTACTTTATGTGTTATGTGTATTTTAATAATTTCAATTGATTATTAAAAATCCTACTATATTATATCTTAGATATACTATACATAGCAATAGGTTTTTTAAAAATAGGGTGTTCTCCATATTCTACAGTAATTCCCATTCTATGTTCCAAGAATTCTAACATTTTTCTTGCAACCATTTTATTATTATCATGAACTTCTGAATGTTCTAGATATTCATGTATCTGCAACAAACAATACATAGTTATAACAGAATTAAAATATATACACAGTAAAAATTACCTTCATCCATTGACAATCAGCAATTTCTCTTACACATTTTTTAATTTCATTATCAATAGGAGACAAATAAGCTATTACATATATATCAGAACAATTAAATGCATGATTATGGGTATGTCTGAAAGTTAATAGACATCTAAAAGTAGTGTGAATACCAGTTTCTTCTAAAACTTCCCTTTTTACTGCTTCTTCCAGATCTTCACCTATAATGAACAAAATATTATTAATCACATAGTTTGAAACGTTATTAACATGTACCTTGATTTGGAATAAAACTGTACCTGGTTCTACGTAACCACCTGGCAGTTTCCAACGTGCTTTGTCTGCATATTTCTCTTTAACTACTAACATTTCATTGGTTTTTTCATTATAAACAAATGCACCAATTCCCAAATTAGTATGAGCATAATGTGGAACATTGCATTCTTCATCTTCAACTAGCCATCGATAGAGCATAACATATTCTGGCTTTGCATGATGAAACTTAAATCCTTCTTTTACAAGTATAGGTACCCATTCTGTATGTGGTAAATGTACACGAAACCATATTGTACGCCTTTTTTCTTTTATCCATTGCTGTAAAGATACTGTAAAAATAATATTTACATTATAAATATTTATCCTTTGATTAGATATAATTTTTAATTTTGATTTTCTATTTTATTACTAGAAATAAAGTAAAATAATAAAGGATTTTTAATCTGATAAAATAAATAATAAATTATAATTTATTTAGTAATAGTTAGTATATTACATACTTGTAAGAAGACGTGCAAATGCTTCGGCATTACAAGATTCTTCATTTGAATCGATAGTTACGCCATTGTAATGATCTTGGCATCCTTTAAAGCATTTAGAAGTCATAATTATGGAAACTGTAGCATAGTATGATATACAATACGTAACGGGGAAAAATGTTGTCCGATATTTAGAAAGAAATTGTTGACGATTTAAGATTGTAATAATATGACAAAGTTTTGAAGCAGCGATACTATACATTAGAACAGTTACGAATCTACGTAAATGATAACTATTTTGAAAAAATCTGCGGAGTGCTTTATAATCTTGTTCTATGCTCACTATTGAAAGTCTTTACGTAACAATAATACAATTTTTTATTCTGATATATATCACGATAATTAACATTAACGTAAAGCATTCTAACCTAACATTTTATTTTACATGTACGTTTTAAGTTTAAGTCCATTATGATTTTAATTTAATGGACATTATATCGCAAAGTAATTATTGATTTTTTTCAATAAACGTTACAAAGTTAATAACTATCTTAAATACAATTATTTATAACATGTACAAAATAAATGATATACATAAGATATTTTCTAAATGTGTACTAAAATTGTATATCATACAGAACAATAAAAATATATTGTTAATATGTATATTAATTAAATTAAATATATATTTTTATTGTTTCAGTAATGATTTAACAGAACAATTCAAGTGAATACGACATCATAATATGAGGAAAGATTCAAGCACAGTGTAGTCTTGCTACATGGCTACAATTTATCTAAATATACAAATAGTTATTTCCATTGATAATGTTTCTTTATCACCGTAGCACACAAAGAAATGCAGACATTAAATTTTCAATTTAAAAAACTTAATAATTCCGAATTCAAATTTCTAAATTTAGTAATTCAAGTTTCTAAATGTAGAAATTTCATATTTCCGAATTTAGATCGTTGGTAATATTAGGAATGGGAACATCGTATAGAATGAGTTCTGTTGATATGACCATTTTTGTAAATGTTACCGCTTCCACATTGGCTTGTGGGGCCATGTTGCGAAACTCCATTGAGCTAAAGTGTACAATCTCGCTGTTTGTTCCAAAATGACTCTAAATCTTGATATGTCTTACTAGTAGGAACATTATAATGAAGAGCTTCGCAGATGCGACAGTAGTGCTTCGAAATACTACCAAAATAGCCGTGTTCATTAATTACTTTATAATACTTGCGCCATTCGTGATATTCAAAATATTTATCATCATGCTGATTAAGGTATCGAATATAATCCGCCAAAGCAGTTGGATTAGCAAAATCGCTAACATGAAGGAACGAATGAGGTGGTAATAGCCGTTCACAATTTTCTTTCGGTGCACCCATTATTACTGGAACAGCTAATTTATGATAACCATGCCAAAATACTTTTTCCGTTAAGTATTCTTTGCAATTCGAGTTCTCGAAAGCAAGATAAAATTTATACGCATTTAGGGTCGCACAGTCTTTATCAAAATGACCGGGACATGCGGTGGTATTACCGTTCAAACATTTCCCGTATATTTGTAAATCATCGCCAAGAATTGATTTCAATTCGTTCACATATTTCCATCGTCCGTTTACACCTACACAGTTACTGCCCATTATCGTAACTAGTTTAGTTTTTAATTTTTTAATAGAATCCTTTAAGAAATGCGTTTCTGTGGAATTTATAAACGCTTTAGCAATCGTGCGGCCATACGGTATTGGTATATCGCTGTCCATGCGATAAGTCATAGACCAATTGAACAGGCCATTGTATTTTGATAGTTCTTGATTGCCATAGAGAAAAGTGTGCATTGGTGATTCGTCCGTCAAGAAGATCCATCTTTGGTTCTGTCGAGTTCTGTATGGTAATTCTAATACGCTTTTCGTCAAGTGCAAATGAAACACAGTGGCATCAGCTGTATCAATATCTTTCGATTGATAACTTAATACACAGTTATTTACTGAACAACCTTCCCACGGTGAAAATCTAAACAGCAACATTAAATTTATATTTTGATCGGAGAAATGTATTGCTACGATCGAAGTTAATAGTATTGTATGTTATTAACTTATTATTAGAGAAACGTTTGATGTGTCTACGTTCCAGGAATTTTCCATGCTTCCAAATTAATATTAAGTAAGGTTCTTTTTTCGTATTAATTATTGGTGGTGGTAAACTTCCCTCGGGAGATAGCAGCCATTTTCCAAGCAAAGACATCGCACCATTCTGATAAAAATAAAGAGGAAAATATAATAAATTTTATTTAAAATATTTCCAAATACATATTCTTTTTATTAAACAAAAATTATGAAAGGCATCTGTGATTATTGTTAAATGTGTTATTAAGGTCATGACTCTGAGTATGTTATAAAGGTTTTAATATTTAAAAAGAATTCTGTACAATTTGGCTTTTTATTTTCTTTAAAATCATGTGTTTTGAAGAGTCAACAAAATTCCGACATTAAAAATTCTAATTTGACCTAACCTAACCGTGCCTAACTTTAACAACCTAACTGAACCTGACTCAAAGTTATCCCTTTGTTGCAATCTTCAGAACAATATTCATGGTGATGACACTAACACATGTCACAATATTTTCAAAACTGATAGAGCTCCCCCTTTTTTGAATATTAAAAAATGTTAAATTCGTTGCTTTTAGCAAATTAATATCGTACCTGCACATTTGTGAAATTTTTATTTTTCGATAATATTGTGAAAATGTTCTGACGTTTTGAATACTTTGCTTCTTCGTCGATTTTCCCGCCAATGAAGTCCGGAAAAGTAAGGAGAACCGTAAGAAAAATCGTCGAACCAACAAAAAGGAATAATAATATTCTAACATATCGCGAAATCCCGAGCATGGTACTTCCGACTATTTCGACGACAGAACGTAGCAAGTGCTAACCGAAGCATATCGGCACTTGGTCGTGACTGCGTTCCTCTTCTTCACGAAGCTGCTTTTCCTTTTTAAAATTACATAAAGTTAGCAAACAAAGTGGGATTTATGCGTAGGTTGAGAGTCGTTGTAACAGTATTTCATTCGACCTAAATGGGTGTTTAGAAAAAGTGTCAATAAAAAATAATACGGTGAAAAGAAAATATTTGGAAAAAAGAAAATAGGTCTGACCAATGGCCAAAGCTACCTTTGACGTGTGTTGTAAGTGATCTCGATTGTCTTGGTTAGCCAAGTGTGACGGTCCTCAATAGAATAATTGTGAACATTGTCCTAAGCAATAACAAATGATCGCCCTGTACTTCCAAAAGTATAAAGATGTCGAAAATATTTATTATTAATACTTATTATTAAGTAAACACGTTACTTTTATTTGTACATTATTTATTTACGTATTTATTTTACTATTTTAATATAACTGTGTTAAGATTAAATTTCTTAATATATTGTTGAGGTAATAAAAACAACGATAAACGTTAGATATTTATAAATTAAAAAATTGATATAAATAAGTTTTCACTTTTTATAGATTTAAAGCAGCTATTTATATTACCTGGTTTCACGATTGTTGTCAAAATAAATCTATAGAAAATTAGCTTATCATAGCATAATCATAAAATAATAAATGTTTCACATAACCTTTCTGTATTTCAATTTATGCAGTTTCAACATAGATAAATAATAAAAGTTAAATATTGAGCGAGTTAAAAATTCTTTCATCACTTCTTTTGAAACTTTGAAATTTTTAAAAAGAACTACGGACTAGTAGTGTCCTTCTTGTTCACGCATGCGTACTAGCTCATTGCTCTATACTGCGCATGACATTGCGTAGCTTTTACAAAGAGAAATATAAGTCTCATAATTCCCAAGAATTATGTTCCTGTTAATAAAATATTAATTATATAATTAAATAATGTAGCATTACATTAGATACACATATATATGTATTCTGTAATAATTTTTGTGTAACGAATAAACCAGATCTAGGAATATTTTTCTAGAAAAAAACTTTAAGATGGTAAAGTTGGTAACACAAAATATCGATATTTCTACATTCGTCTAAGATATAACGTATTTCCTCTTTCCGTCGTTGCACTGCAAAGGAACCGCGTGCTACGTTTATCCAAAATGGTAAGTTCTCGTAATAGTCTCGAGAAACGCAAAAAATCAAAAGAATCATTGCATCGCTTAAATGGGAAAAGCTTAAAATTAAAACCGAAAGGAAAATTAGATAAATTAAGTAAAGAGAAAATAAAGCAGAAAGCAGATAAAAGTCTCGAGCCCAAAAAGATTGTAAATACCTTAGACACCGAGAAAGTTATATCTAAAAAATCAGTTAATAAAAAATTAACAAACAAAATTCAAGAGAAAGTTGATGTAGCTAGAAGATTATCGCTTCGTTCATCTCAAAAAAAAAATATTCATGAAGTTGGAAAGGCACAGCTTACGAAATTTAAAAACCACGTGGGAGGTTCTAATAATTTGAAAGTATGTATTAAAAACTGTTATATTGCAAAGTCATTGTTTTTTATAAGGGACTTGCTATATCTTGATTTATAACTTAAGATACATTAATGAATAGAAAATTATTTTATATGCATCAATGACTGTTCTACTTTTAGATAAATTGTTCCACAATTTAGATTCCATGCTAATTACATTGTCTAATCGTTTTCAGAGTAATGAAAAAAGGAAAACAGTAAAAGCAACAAAAAATTCCAAACCTACGAAATTACAGTCGTTAAAACGGAAAAGATTAGAAAGTGATAATAATAAAGAAAATATAAATTCTTCGAGTCTAGAAGATTTATCACGAGAACATATAGTACAATGTATTAGTGCTATATTTCATTTAACTGAAGAACAATTAAAAAATAAAAATGCATTATTTGATGGGGAAAGTACACCAATATTTATGCAAGTAACTTGCATTAAAGTACCAAAAACACCAAAAAGATGCATGAGAATGTAAGTTAATATTTGAAATTTCATTTTTAAAACATATAAATAATGTTATGTATGTACAATGTTTAACTTGCAAATGATTATACTCTATAAATGCCAATGGATCCTTATGAGGAATCATGATTATATTTTTAGAAATGATGTCTTCTCTTTTTCTAATTCAATATTTTATTTTGGTAAAATATACTGACCATGTTATTATTTATGTTTTAGATTATTGCCCCATTCAATAGTATCTTCAGATGATGAAGTTGCGTTGTTTGTTGGTGATCTTCAAAAGGGCAGAAGAAAAGATTATGAACCAACAATAGAACATTATCAAGAGTTATTACAGAAACATAGTTGTACAAATATAAAGACTATAATACCAATGAATCAAGTGAAAACAGAATATGATCAATTTGAGTTAAAACGGAAACTTGTTAATAGCTACGATCATTTTCTTGTAGATGGAAAAATAGCAGGTCATTTATCTCACTTATTGGGAAAAGAATTTTATACAAAAAGAAAATTGCCAACACCTATTAGAATGCAAAGTAAAGATTTAAAGCATGAAATAGAATTTGCATTGAGAAAAACTCTTATGCAAATACATTCTTTTGGCGATTCTCACATAGTCCAAGTTGGACATACATTAATGAACGTAGATGAGATTTTGGAAAATATATTAGCAGCATGTAACTATTTGTCCAAAAATTACCCAGGCGGTTGGGATAATATACGTTCGATTCGTATTAAAACAAGTAATAGTCTTGCCCTTCCTATTTACACAACATTAAGTAAGTTTTATTACTCAGTCGTATTACATTTTTGTGAGATATTTTAACATATCCGAATAACATGATTTCCTTTTTCAGAAAATAAAAACTCTGTTAAACTACCAGTAGTAGAACCTAAGAGACCAAAAGCGTACCGTGATGTATCAGGCGAGTTATCTACTACACCTAGTAATACTGTTGTGACTGTGACTCCTGAAGGAAATATTACTGTTGACAGAAAAATAAAAAGATTTAGAAAACCAACAACAGAAGAAAATTAATACAACTTTTTGTATTACTGTATTAGCTAGGAAATAAAATTGAAATTACTTTTTTTATATATCATGTTGATTTATATTATTTATAATAAAAATAAAATTCAAATTGTATCTTTTGTTATTTTACATATTTTAATGAATAACCATAGATGCATATTTTCCTTAATTTTATATTTAACATTTGAAGAAAAACATTAACTGTTCAATTTATTTGCGGTAAATAACCATTTATTATTAAAAAAAACCTCTTATAATTACCGGTACTGAGCATGCGCAGAAAATTAACCAATCAAGTTTGAGCATTAATATTAAATCCCCCCTCTCACATTGGCTTCACTCTCCACAAACCAAGCTTTACACTTCGTTCCTATATTCCTAGGTCCATGATTTACCTAGACTAGATTATCGCCATTTTTAATAAAAATTTGTTTTAAGGGTAATTGACATTTATTAACCCCGTTTTAATTAATATTACTACTTGCTGAGAAGAATATTATGTTCCAAGCGATAAATTGAAAAATGGGCGAAGATTATAATGGAGGTAAGCGTTCGAAAAATTCCTAAATATATTGTGCTTTTTGTCATTGTTCCCGCGTTACAACCGCAGGTAAATAAGTCGAGTGATTGTAATGGCCGGAGAAACGTATTCGTGAAAGTGGTAAACATATTTGAAAAAGTTTCTTGTGAAATTTCTTAGTACATGAAATATTTTAAGCTACAAAACGTTTTAATCAATTTCAGCGTGAATTAAATAGCATTTGAACATTTATCGGAAGGTCTTTTCATTTTATCGATAACCTGAAAAATAAGCATCTACGAAGATTGTTCTTATGGGTATATCTTTACTTATATATTGATAATACGTTATTATTTCATTAACCTCTCTTAAACATTTTATTGCTTTTTTATAATTGTAATTAAACCTAAAAGTTTTTTTAATTATTTTAAGTATAATTTTGCTGTTTGAAGTCTAATGAATGTATGTAGTGAATATAACAGAAGTAATATTTATCATTAGCATATAATATATATGTTTATAATAAGACATAATATGTACTCAAATCATAGAGTTCTGAGTAAAATATATAGTTCAGATAAAAATATAATTATAATTAATTTTTTATTTTTATGCTTTATAAGTTATTTGATCTTATACAATGCATAAGAAAATGAAATTAATGTTGGTATGATATAAACATACATATATTTATTAGATCGAGATCGTCAGGACCGTGACAAAGATAGGGACAGGGACAGGGACCGTGACAGAAGACATAGGTCTCGTAGCAGAGATCGCAGGAAACGTTCACGATCACGTTCCAAAGATCGAAGAGATAGAAAGAGAAGTAGTTCGCCTAAAAAGAGTCGCAGCTCTAGAAGAAGGAAACCTTCTCTTTACTGGGATGTTCCACCACCAGGATTTGAACACATTACACCTTTGCAGGTAAGTATCTTTGATTAAGCAAACTTTTAATTTATGCATAGATTGCAGATGTTTATACATATAGATAAAGAAATAAAACAGAGACAGATATCTGTTTTATAGTTAGAAAATTACAAAAAAATATTCTTAATTTTATATTTTAGCATGTTTTGCATACTTGTTTAGTACATAAATATTGTACATTCACTTTTTATGATACTTTTATATATATCAAATAGTTCTTAAAAATTCTTTTATGTTTTATAACAATCCTATTTATATCTTTATAAATTTATTAAAAATAATATTTGTATTTAATATGAGTTTTTCAATCTAATATTATGATTGCTCCAACATTTATAATTTTGCATATTCATTGCTCATTAAATACTTCAAGTTATAGCTGTGTTACATAACAGGTATAAAATAATAATTACCTACAATATAACTAGTTTGTATTTAATATAATAGAAAGTAGTATTGTATTTGTAAATCTATTTTTTCTTAGACAAACTGAAAATGGATATGCAATATTTATGTATAAAGTCATCAATATATTTATCCAATTTATTTTATAAATTCTAATAAATGAATCAAGAATGATATTACATAATGTATATACAATGTAGACATTGTATACATTTCCACATAATCAAATATGATATATTCAATCACTCTGATATATTCAAATTTATTTTCATATGATAGTATTGCAATATAACTTTTGGTTCAAGTAAAGCAGTAAAGGAACCAATATAGTTAGGAATACACAAATAAAATATATATCAACTCTTAAAATAATTTCAGTTGTATTCATAATAATTAAATAATAAACATTTCATTATAATGACATTTTTTCAATATATTTATTGTATAATAAATACATAATCATCTGTAGTCTAATTATGTAAATTAAATTTCCAGGTAATTACTTAATTTTCATATCAATTTCAATTTTTAACAGTATAAAGCTATGCAAGCTGCAGGACAGATACCTGCAAATATTGTAGCAGACACACCACAAGCAGCTGTGCCAGTAGTTGGTAGTACAATAACTCGACAAGCAAGAAGACTTTACGTAGGAAACATTCCATTTGGTGTGACTGAAGAAGAAATGATGGAATTCTTTAATCAACAAATGCACTTATCTGGTCTTGCCCAAGCTGCTGGAAATCCGGTATTGGCATGCCAAATTAATCTGGATAAAAATTTTGCATTCTTAGAGGTATTTAATAACTTTAGAATAAAGTTTAAAAGTTTATGTTTTCCATAAATGACAGAGTATTTATGAAAACATTTTAGTTCCGTTCCATAGACGAGACAACGCAAGCTATGGCATTTGATGGCATCAACTTCAAAGGCCAAAGTTTAAAAATAAGAAGACCACATGATTATCAGCCTATGCCAGGAATGACTGATAATCCAAGTATGAACGTGCCAGGTACGGTTCCTGGTATGTTTTATACATACTCTTCAGCATTTTATGTTATATTTAACAAATTTTTTACTTTTGATATGTACATAACCTAATGTAATCTTTTTTTTTATTATAGATTCTCCACACAAGATTTTCATTGGTGGTTTACCCAATTATTTGAACGAAGAACAGGTATGCAAACAAATCTGTAATATAATTTCGTTTATTGCACACCTTTGGATACAGTTTTTATTCACTGATGTCTACTCATACATTACAATTGGTAAAAATCTATGACTATTTAGTAACTTCATTAAAATTCTAAAAATATATCTTAATGACATCAGAGTTTAAAACAATTGTATCGCTGTATAACAATGCTGTAGAATTACTTTGAATATATGCTAGTTCTCAGCATTGTGAGTTATACCAAAGGATTAAATTATAACATAGGTATTTAGCTATTTAGCGGAGATCAAACTAACGAAGATGAGTCAACTACCCAAATACCATAGAGGTATGTATGTGTATCCATTGGATTCCAGCGTCGATTAGGTTTTATTTAGCTAGGTGTACCGGATTCCAATTCCATTTTTTGGTCAAGTCTAGGGACAACACAGAACCTTGTCGTGTTTCGCATTTCTTCTCAGAGTACCATTATTAGATAGTGGATAGGGAAATGGTTAGTGGTGTTACAGCATTCAGGTGGTATGCAGTCACGGCAGTCGCTTCTTTCACAGTTTTTTGAAGAACATCGTGGACCCAGCCAAGGGAATACGAAATTTTTTTATATAGGAATATCTAACAAGAGTATTAAATCAATGGTTAAAAAGAAGGAAGGGGGAGGAGGAATAAGTAGTTGATAATCATGCAAAGTTGTTAGGTGCATAAAGTATCTTCAGAAGTAAATCTTCTTCATATTTTTACATCTGAAACTCTTACAGTCTATTCCATCTAGTGGTATTACATGAAAAAAAAAAAACATTTTAGGATTATAGAAACAAGTCAACGTTTTATCTAGTACATCAGTTTTTTTCTTTTTTTCTTGACGGGATTACAGGGTCAACACATAAGCTTATGTGCATCTGGTAACAGCTCCAAGTCTTTTGGCACCTGTTCTTTTCAGCAGTACCTTTTCTCTTGCAGCTGTTTTCTTTACAGGCTTTTACAGGCTTTACAGCTCTCCGTCCTTGTGCCTTGTTACGTTTACAGGTTACGCGAATGAACTTATGCGTTCAAATATCAGTAATGTGCATTTATACAAAGACAGAGTGTAAAAAAGAAAGTAAGAAAACTAAAAGTCGGTAAATGTGAACATTAAACGCCGGAAAAAAGTTAATTGTGTTATTACAGTGGTACATTGTTGGAATAATACAATCAAAACAAAAATATAACCATTTGGTTATCATATAGTATACTGTGGACTGATACCAGTGCCCTTTCTCCCCATTTCTTAGCTTAGGGTTGCGCCGATCAAAAGCATTTGCTTACCACTACCACTACTTCTACCACTACTACTACTACTACTACTGAACATGACAAAATACCACACTGCCTGGAGAGAGGCTAGCCCAGTCCCTCGAGGCAAGTACTTATATCATTTTCATGGGTCTTCGTATTGGGCTTATGCGACTTTTGCAGCCCCTTTTCTGAAGACTTTGGTTCTTCTATGTACATGGTGCGTTTTCTAATTGGATAGTTTTTGATTGATAATAGCGTGTTGCTTGATTATAAGGATGTTAATGATGTAATAGGAATTATTGCACATTATCTTTACAATAGTTACATTGTTGTCCTGATAACAATTTGAAACTTCAGTAATTTATCAGCTGACAGTAATTTAGATTTGTAGGTAATACTGCCTAAAAGATATTTAATTTTATCATCTTCAGAGAGGTGTAATCCTTGTTCGACCATATGCATACGAATGCATAGAACTAGTTATGTTATATATTACCCTAGATTATGGATCAATGTTTCAACAATAGGCTGTATTCACGTATTTCTTCTTGAAATAAAATGAATTGAACTGTTGGGAATTTTTAACTCCCAAAAATGAAGATCAAAATATCTTCATTAAAGGCAACATGCTGTTATCTCCGCTTCAGAGTTTTCAGTGCTTCTGCGAAATGGAAAAACGTAAGTAAGTTTAAGATATGCTTGTTTTTGAAGAGAAAGTAAAAATAAATGTGCAAGAATCCACATTTGAAGAGCTGCGGCGTACTGTCTCGATTGATCTTGACATAGATCCATTTCAGACTGGATTAAGTCTTTTGTGCGTAAGAAATTAAATAAAAATCTTCAATGGACTTTTAGTAGGCGAAATATAATAAATTTATGCATTTATAGTGAATTCATTTCTTATAGATTATGCAACTTTTATTTTAGCATTAAATAATGATATTGCAGCATTTCTCATTTTTAAAAAGCAATGAAATTTAATTTTAATAACTGAATAATTTCATTAACACTTCACTTCAACCAAAAAAATTAAATAAAATTCATTCTTTTATATAAGTGTAACTAATGTATGAGAACAAAGTTTCATTGTTGTATATAAATAAAATAGAATATTCGATAATTTCATTTAAAAAGATATTAGAAATAAAAAAGTTGTATAGTCTAAACAAATTTTAATTATATGAATGTTATATGAGTAAATAAGTAATGTTGTTTTTACGATACAGGTGAAAGAATTACTGATGAGTTTTGGACAACTAAGAGCATTCAATCTAGTAAAGGATTCAGCTACAGGTCTATCCAAAGGTTACGCATTTTGCGAGTATGTTGACGTGTCAATGACTGATCAAGCAATTGCTGGATTAAACGGAATGCAGCTGGGAGACAAGAAGCTAATTGTACAACGAGCTAGTGTGGGAGCCAAGAATCCTATGATCGGCGCACAAGCTCCAGTTCAAATTCAGGTGCCTGGATTGTCTATGGTAGGCACAAGTGGACCAGCAACTGAGGTAAATGATCATTTGAACTATAACTTTTATTTTATAATTTATTTGTTAGAGTTTTACAAATACAATTATAATCTCACTATAGGACTCCTCTTTAAATGAATCATCAGTGAATTCTGTTCCACATGGGTACTGTTAATATATTATGTGAAACTTTCTAGTCAAAAATTAATCTTTTTAAAATTATTATTTTTCTACTATTTTAATTGTCACTGTGGCCTAGTTTGCTACACTTAAACATCACATATATAATATTATAGATTTAGTTAAAAAGATATTTATTTCAAATTGTTATACTAAACCAAATGGCAAGCATGAGTCACCTTTTCCGTGCAAAGTGTTAAAATAATATATTTTTTATCTATATTCCAGTCCAGATCTATATTGTGTGAGGTTGTGAAAATTTTATCAACAAAAAATTTGTACTTAAAATTAATTACTATATATTAAAATAATACTAGGACTTTGAAATGTTATAAATATTGAATATAATATAAAGTATTATTATGCACTATTAGGTTCTCTGCTTGTTGAACATGGTAACTCCTGAGGAATTAATGGAAGAAGAGGAATACGAAGACATCTTAGAAGATATTAAAGAGGAATGTAATAAATATGGTGTGGTTCGATCTGTGGAAATACCAAGACCTATAGAAGGTGTTGATGTACCTGGGTGTGGAAAAGTATGTGTAAATACTAAACTTAAATTTGTTTCCTATCAAAAAGAAAACATATAATTTTCATGCTTTGTTTGTTATAGGTATTTGTTGAGTTTAATAGCGTAATTGACTGCCAAAAAGCGCAGCAGACACTTACAGGACGTAAATTTAATAACCGTGTTGTTGTGACATCATACTTCGATCCTGACAAGTATCATCGCAGGGAATTCTAAGATGTAGATTTTTTCATGCCAATTAATTATTGACTCCAGTGTATAATATATATATTGAACGAATAATCTAACCTGCTCGGAAATTAATAAATTTTTTCTCATCAGATTGTACATTAAGAAATGTAATTGATTTGCACTCGTACTGTGCATTAAAGCGTAGTTGTTGTAATTTATGTATCTTTCAATGATGTAACCATTATATGAGTAACGCGTATTTTACAAAACTGAATATTTTCTGGTTTTTAGTCAGTAAGAGGAATAAAAATCCTGTGAGAGACACAATTATACAAATATATAATTATATGATACATATACTGACGTCATAACATTCACTAATTTATCAGTGAAATTGAAATACTAGATCATTGTCAAAATAGAAATCATACAAATAAATAATACATTGTCACTGTGTTCATAACAAATTTTTTTTTTTATCAAAATATTTTAATACTCGTTATTTATGTGTTAAAGTATAAAAAAATGAAATGACAAGCGTCATTTAAAATTTATGCGTGCTTCTTCGTTGAAAATTAAGCTTCATGTTGCGATGCAGGTTGATAGGAATGACTCTCTCCTACCACAGCAGTGTCAATTAACAATTTTTGCAATGCTATATAAAGTCCACCTCCAGCAAGCAGCAAGCAGATTCCTATTAAGAGCACTATGGACCATGCTGGTATTGCAGTTCCCCCTGGAAAATTTCAGATGCTTAATCATTACACACATTGCTTCATTTTTTTTGTGCATTTGCATCTTAACTTACAGTAGTAACGTCTTGTAATTGTTTTACGTCCTTTTAAAATCTTACGTCTTGCTTCCACTCCATCCATAAAAATTCCCATGAGTACTGTTTACAAAAATTATTTACATGAATGATATGTTTACCACACAGTTCCATTTTTTTTATATTATTTGTTAACTTTTGTGAAATTATTTTTTTAAGAATATATATAAATATTTTACTATTATTTTCAGGCAGTTTTATATTTTATTGTGCTGTATATAATTCTGATAAAATCTCACAAAAGTTTATTAATATTATTTATGTAGCTATTACTATTACTATTTTATTAAAGTAAACTTGAAAATTAATCTTGTAATTAATTACTAAAATATTATCAAATATTGCACATAAAATGAACAAGTAAAAAAGTCTTGCATAAACGATAATACGTTAAATTAATATTATATATACTTACGAAAACCAATGGCAAGATAACACAGCAATTTTTTAGAACACATTTTGTTTTATTAAAGACTATAATTACACAATTAGATGAAAAGCGTTCAAAATCTTGTTAGGGACACCTGAACCACATAAAAGCAAATCTGTTATGAATCAACGGCCCGATAAGGGTAGAGATAACACATGGAAAATGTATCTTATCTTATTTTTACAAGAGATATAAAAACTAGTACGAAGTATGAAATCATATTGGGCTTATGAACATAGTTAACAGGGCACACAATGCCTGTAAATGTGCATATATTTACGTACATATATTACTGATTTCTCTTATTAAATTCTAGTATACATTGATCACTTTTGTTAGTAGCATAAAATGTCCTAACATGCTTATAAAAAAAAGTAACTTACATTTATAAGAATTGTTAATAATTATTTAAATAAATATAAAGAATAGCTCAGTTTATTTCAGATTAATTTATACAAGCATGATAATATATAATATTTACAAGTTGATATCAAATATCTGGTTAGAGTAACATACTGAACGATTTCAACTTTCGCTTTGACATTATATGCACTTAAAAAAATACAGAAATCCAGAATGCAGCTGGAATGTAGTTATGAAGATTATCGGGGTGCAGGTCGAAGATTCGAGTAAGTATGGGTAGGATCTATTGAAAAGGAAAAGTTTCAAATCAATTAATGTTCTTTAATCGCATACTGACTTTTTATTAAATAAGATTCAAGGAAACCAAGTTACAAGTATAACTTATTACACGATCGTTGTAATACTACATAATCCGATGCCAACGGAGACAAATTTTTAATTAAAAGCGAAATCAACAAACATTTTCCTCCCTAGTATTTCCAGATAAAATGAAATATAATAAAGTATGATATTAATAATATTCTATTTTTGTATTTTGAAATATGCTTCAATGAAATATTTTTTTATTTTTAACATTTTGACAACCGGGTGTCAAATGTGAAACTGATGTGTAACAAAAGAAAATACAGTATTTCTAGCACTAACATTTAAATTATATATCACCATTAATTCTTAAATAAACAGTCCGACTTACAGTTGCCAAAATGTTAATAATTATAATAACGAGTGAGTTAGTCAGATTTTTTCTTCTAAATAGTGAATTAACTGTTGGCATCTATGCTTTGCTGACTCGAATAATTAAATATACTCCTCTTGTTTTTTCTCTTTTTTAATATAACATTAAAGTAATTACAACCGAAATAAAGCTCTATGCAACTTACAATTATCATAATAATGTAAATAGAAATAGCTGGCACATATACAAGGCATTCCAAAACATCACCTTTCATATAACAAACTCCATGCCTTCAATGGCAGCATTTGCATTTTTTTCCATCTCGTAATTTCTTCAGTTATATAGTTTTACTATCTTTCTACTTGTAACATACACACAATCTCTCTCTCTTTCGCTCTCTCTCGCTCGCTCTTTTTTTCTTTTTCCCTAGAAACTGTAGTTTCTGGAGGACAGTTGACAATGAACCTACCCCTCAGTGTCTTCTTCAGGTTATAATATGCTTCTATATTTTGTACATACGTTGATAGATCATGTTATTACAAGCCTTTCTAAACAGCAGTCTCACTATATGGCCCGGTGAGCGAGTTTACCTTCACTCGGACTTTCACGCACACTAGTGACATTTATACATCATTGTAACAGAGAGATATAGAAATGTTAAATTTTTTAATGAGTAAACTTAGATATTTAAAATTCTTAAGTGTTTTCATTTGTAAACGATTAACTTTTCATATTTGCAAACATAAATTTCTAATTCCAAATTGAGGAATTTATAAATAACCTAATTTTATTTAGAAATTCAGAAATTTGAAATTCAAGAGTGTTACAAGTTACACTTTACAAATTTAGACATTTAAAAATTTCAGAACTTAAAATCTAAAATTTTTGAATGTAAAAATTACAAACTTTTAAATCTAGATATTTTACATTTGTAAATTTTTCAATATAGATATTTTGAAATTTCAAATTTGCAAAAGTAGAAATTCAGAAATTTAGGGATTTCAAATTTTCAGATTAGAAACTTCAATTTTCCAGTTTAGGAATTCTTAGATTCCAAACTTTCCTCAAACTTTTATTTTATATAATTTCAAATTTGGAAATTTCTGCTATTCAAATTAAGAAATCCACAAATTTCATATTTGAAATTTCAAACTTTATATATTTAAACACAGAAACTTTAAATTTGCATTATTCTATGAAAGTATCTCTTTGTATATTGTCAATTTCAAGAACTTTCTGTTACTACAGTCTTGGCTATGGCTTCAAGTGGAAACTTTAACATTAATCCTTCATTGTATTGTGCTATAAAAATGCTACATAAATTAATGTATATAATTCTTACATCCTGTCAAACATAGTTGAACTAAACATTGTACTGTTAAAGAAATTATTGGAAACTGTTCTACTAGAAACCAATTGGTTTTATATAATGTAATTTATATAATTTGTATTTCATATATAATTCATATAATTTGTGATATAACATTACAAATCTGTAATATTATACATTTATATTATATCTTATATATTATACTATTTTCTTGTTATTATCACTTCTGAGAATTTAAAAATGTACTTTTTTACAAAATTAAAAAACTCATGCAACGAAGGATTAAGTATCTTTTAATTATTCTAATATCATATACATATAAGGAAACTTGTAATAACATAATCTATTAATGTGTGATGGCTCACTAAAATCTGAGGAAGATACTTAGGGAAATTTCTTTGTGAGTTTCCCTCATTTTTTGGTTTATATATCCAGCACCATATGACTTCGAAGAAACTTTCATGCAAGTACATTTTTTTTTTTAAATCTTGCCTCTGTACCCGTGTCAAGTACGCCCTCCTGGCGTCAGAATTTCAAAACCATCGCATTTTCAAGCGATTCCATGACGATACTGCAATCTGATTGAAGAATATCGAAATCTGCAGATTCACTGCAGAAGAAATAGTTTTCGATATACAGTACCATATATGTGATTGTATTTCGTTCGTTAACACGCAAATTTTGTGCTATTCTATCTTGATAAATATTTAACGGAAAATAAATCGTTCTGCGATACGATTGAAACAACATGCAGACAAAAGTATATTATGTATACACGTTAAATTCTTGGTTCAAAGGTAACTTTTTTACACGATGCTGAACACAAATTTGTATACTGTACGTTAACCGGGATCGTAAAAAAAAGAACTATACAGAAAATCATTGTAATGTTTAAATTTTAATTCATATTTTTATCTAAGCAATTAATAAGATCAAACATCATCTGATAACAAAAATTTCACGATCATTTATTAACATATATGTGTATGCAAGTATATAAATAAAAAATGTATGGTATAAATATAACTTAGAAGTACATAAGTATTTTGGAATTAAGTCATAACTTTTAGAAAAATATAACTTTTATACATAATGTTCGGTGGAATCTCATTCCTTCAAAACAATTATTATACATAATATATGATATATATTTGAAGATGAAAAATAACTAAAATATAATGGTGATACTGACTAATATAAATAAAATATGATAATACGATATAATCAGAAAAGAAAACAAACAATATTAATTTCATATTAATACAAATGATTACATAACTGTTGATCTCTCTCTGTTATTTCGTTGTGAGCAATATAGTTTTCTAGAATGCATTTTCATAGAAATTTTAGTTATGCGTATTAAGTACCATATTTGTGGTTAGATGTATTCATTTGAAAATTTATAGAAACAACTCCCTCATACTAAACAAACAATTTTTATATTACACTAGGGAGTATAAAATTAAATAAATTAAATATAAATAATACTGTATGTTGCATATCAACATTCTCTGCTACTGTATATAATACTAAGTACTCCGTTAGTGAACTGTTCATAACACATTAAAAGAAAAACGAATAAAACTTTGTGAAGACAGTTTTCTACAAACATATGGAAGAAATTGTTACTAAAGAAAATATTACTGTAGATAATAGTGCATCTAATAATGTTATTATAATTTTCAAGTTACATTAAAAGTGTCTATTACGTTAGACAGCTTTCATAGGTTCTCATCTAAATACGAATTTTTGTTTCTCTAAGCTAAAACCTATTTGCAATCAAAACCACTTCGTAACTTTACTTGAAATACTGTATTAGTGGATGGCATAATGATTCAAGGTAGTTGAGGGATAATGAATTATTTGAAGTCTGCGACATTATTATTTGAAGTGTATTCATTGAAATGCATTTAGAATTAATAGCTATTATTATCGTGTCTCTTAACTCTATTGCAAAGTGTTCTCATGTTGGCTCAATGTATTGCTACCGGTTACTTCACCTTTCATTTAATTCTTATCACTTTTTAAGATGTTCTTTTGTGTAACTGATTATTTGCCTCAATATTATTTTTTCCCTCTTTGTTTTAATAATTCAGTCAAGTTTTTATTGCGTCTTCAAGGAACGCTTTACTCTTATTGCAGAATTACAGAACTAAATGCATTTAGTATTCCGTATATATTTTTATCCCCTGGGCAAATATTAATTTTACATCCATTAATTATCAATAATGTTATATATTATATATAATTCATTCGTATATATTTTATATAACATTACAAATTAATTATGTAATATTCCAGAAATTTATGAATTGTATACAACAACAAAATTTGCCCGCACGTGTCTATATAATCGTATTTATTACTTTATATGTTACTACAATACAGTCTCGATACATGACATCCTTTTATGTGGCCAGTTGAGCGAGTTTTCTTCATACTTTCATACACGCTTTTCAATTCAACAATTGAGAAATTTCAAGTTTTCAAACTTTCAAATTTAGAAATTGAGAAATTTCAAATTTAGAAATTTTCAAAGTTAGAAATTGAGAAATTACAAATTTTTAACAGTAGATTTGACAATCAAGCGTTGCATAGAAGAAATTTTACTTATATGTCTCTTTCCACAATTTTTTTCACTTCTACCCATTCAGGGCCATATAGCGAGACTGCACTGTGCAGTATGGTTACTCTACAGTAACAAGTATATCTAGCTGCGGAGCAATGACAGCGGCATTTCTATTAAAAGTTATCGCTTGTTAGTAGTAGTTAATGTTCATATAAATAAATATATATCGTGAACATCATTGAACATATTTTCAATATATAATAAATTAATTCAATATATTACCGAATAATGATGTACCTTTTATAAGCTACATTTTTAGGTTTAAATTTAGATTTACCTTGTGGCTAGCTGATGGTATGATCCGAAGTGTTCTTCTTCGTTTCGCATAGTGGCGTAGAAGAAATATTCGTGGAGGAAGATGAAATACAGTCCTTAGATAGATTACCATTCAAATTTAATTTGGTACTTTCTTCACTACTATTTCTTTTACTGTTGCGATGCACCACGTTATTATCGACAATTTTATATGAATCGTGACACTCGTTTTTTGTTTGTTGTTTAATATTTTCACAATCCTGTATTTCATTGTCTCTTTCTATAATACCTTCATTAATTAGTACATCCTTAAACGTAGCCAAAGTCTTACGGAGTGTTATACAAAAGCCTCTAGACGCTGGGATTAATGGGAATTCCGGTAAAATTTTCTTATCTAAATAAAAAGAAAGATCGTTACAATAAACTAATTCAAATCTCCTATATGATTCATTATTTTTCAAGTACCTCAACTTCTAAAGCCAAATAGAAATTTCATATTTTCAAATTTAGAAACTTAGAGTTTACAAATTGTAATTTTCTAAAGGTACCTTTGTAGAATTATACTGTTAGAGTTAGATGAACATTTAAAAAAAAATATTATGAATTTAAAGCTTAACTTTAGAAGTTCGGATAGTTGAGGAATAATGTCCCGTGTATGAAGATAACGTATCATAACGTACCAACGTCGGATATTTGTTTAAAAGTAGTAGGTGTTACTGGAGACAATGGATGTTGATTGCTATGCTGTTCAGAAATTTCCATCCATAATTCCAAGCGTTGTAACAAGCTCTTTGCATGTCTCTTGAAGTGTCCAATGATGATATCTTTAAATACAGGCGGTGGGTGCAATAACAATTTAGTTTGGGCTTGAATCAATTTTAACACAACCATTTCATTGTACATTCTTGAATTTTCTTTTCCTTGTTGAGATCCTTTCTGCTTTTCGAACCCAGCTTCATTAAAATATGGTTCAGGCACAAGAATAAGCCCTTGAATAGAAACTATAACTTGTAACAAAGTTGAAGAGCTTGTCCATACTTCTGTTCCACGACCAGACCAAGTCCCGAGTAAACTTACACATACTTTACCACCCTCGTAGAGATTAGGATTTAACCTATCAGTACAGTAAGAAATGTAATGACAAAGTGGCGGAGCAGCCGGATAATCGGCAGATAATTGAAAATCAAAGAGAAAGAGTCCATCTTCATACGGTGTTCTCTCAGGTCCACGAAACATTACCGAATATAGATCTATTCTATCCTCAAATCCTTTCACCCATATGCCTGGTGGAAGTGAACTCCTCAGAAGTTTCAATTCCTTGGACACAGTCCTAAAGAAGTTTGTAGGATCTGTAGGCTGAAACATCGTTAGCTTAAATTTATGACTATCTGGCGCGGTTTCTTCTATAGAAAATCCCTCTCCTTCCATATATACTGGTGGTGGAATTTCTATTGAACATTCTGACGATTCCTGTAATTCTATACATTTTTCTTCTTCTTTCTTCTGTTTCTTTAACGGAGACGAGCCTTTCTCAGCATCAAATAACGACATCTTCGATAGTCCAAATCGCTTGGAAATCTCTGCATGCGCCAACACGAGTTGAGCTTTTATCAAAGTACAAAGTTTGACGCAAACTTGAGAACTGGCTATATGAGAACTCATATGCATCTGTATTTTGTTAGCCTTATTTGATTCGGTTTTTTCCACTGAACGATCAGGGATGTTACTCACATCTTCACTGAGCAGAAACTCTCCACTGGACTCACTTGATCCTGATTCCTTCTTCGAATTTTCTGCAGAGTACAATCCAGAGTCTTCAGGATTAGGATTAGCATTGATGAACAAATGATCAGTTGATTCTTCACCTTTAATGTTCTTCGTATTGCTTTCATCATTTTGATCACTGGATTCTGTCATATCTGTCACGGTGGTAATGATTTTTTCACAAGGACTACTTCTAGATTGCACACTATTGTAGTTTTCACTATTTTCTTTTTCCATACCCTCCTCTGATCCGTCAGATTTATGAGTAAATAATCTCGTCACGTGATCCGCCATACGTTGCGCTACATTTGTTCGGCCGCGTTCTCGAACTCTTTCTAAAAGTCCCTGGAAATGACTCTCATGGAAAAAGGAAGTACCCATAAGTTTATCCATATATCGACAATCTTTGTAGACTTCCAATAATCTTCTCATAACGTCAGTTGTTTGAAGCGATGGATTCTGAGTAAAGATCGCTTCCAATCTGGATAACGATATACGAGCTTTCTCAATGTGAGCGGCTAATTTTGGCTTTATGTTTTCTAGTTCTGTTTGTTCGGTGCCATCGGTGTCAGCGATAAAACAATCTTCTAATTCTGTTTCCCATGACGCGTCGGACGACACGTCATCCCATAACTCTCCTTCATCGCTGTCATATTCGCCTACTTTGTACAGATCTTGAGGCCAACACATACTTACATGTCCATCGACCCACCACACTTTAACTCGCCCCTCTGGATAATTATCTAACACTTGGCCAGCAGTGCATCCAGCATCCTCCCCTTCAAAATTAGCGATTCGAATTACCAATGTACCCGGTCTATATTGAAAGTCCGGATGATCTTTCAAATCGTATACACTGACTTCACGTTCTTCTAGTAAAGTTGGTCTATAACAAATTTATTGAAGTTAATAATTTAATTTTTAATTTTCGTTAATATTAATTAAACACATAATTACTTACTGTGGGCTCTGACTTGAAGTATATGTTTTGAACCACTTGATTTTAGCTGTTCGGCCTTGGTGATCCACGCTTTGAACTACACCATAAATTCTGGACTCTTCTTTTTGATCGACCACAAAATCGCCTGGGAAGAATTCTTTGTCATCTAAGTGATGAATTGGGTACAGTTGCGTCGATGGAATACCTAAATAAACGTAATAAGAAAGTTACAAATTTTATATTAGAAGAAAGGCAAACAATTAAAAATATTTCTATAATACCAAATTCTACAGAGCCATCCTGCCATACTACATTAGCTTTTGTGTTTGTAGATAATGTCTCCACAACAATTTTAGTCCCTGGAATAAGCGGAACTGGTGGTACTTTCTTCTTTGCTTTACATAATTTTTTTTTCTTTAGTACTTTTGTCATTAAAGCAGGGCCTTTTTTCTTTTTACCCATAGATGACATACTTGAACATCCACTAGACACCTAAAACAAATTATTTATTCATTAATTCAATATGTGATATAAAGAAATTAAAAGCAACAAACCATCTTACCGAAGCACTATCACTTTGTGAGCCTGTATCCTCTGTGTCCCAATCATCTGAGCTTTCAGTATTTTGATTGTGTACTGGAAGCATTAGGGTGTTATTACTTTTCACATTTTGTAAATTGTTAATATTATTTTGAGCATTCTCTTCTAATGCCTGTTCACTACCTTTTTCTTTTTTTCTATCTTCAACTGGTTTTGTAACACTGATATTTTGACGTGTTTTCTTTGGACTATGTTTAGGAACTTGAAAAATGTCTTTCTGTTGCTTCCTCCACTGTTCTCGCGTAATGATATTTTCATCACCTTTAATCACATAGAAATTGCGATCCCCCACTTGCACAGTAGAAGACTCAAAAACATTTAATAACTTTAGTTTCTTTAAATTTTCTCCTTCAACCACAAATTTAGGTTGAGCTTGATCAGACCAAGCACCATCCTTTGAATACGCTCTACATTGCCAATGTACTCCTACCCAATCTATTTCTATCTTTTCTATTATTACTTTTGTTATCTTTTGTGGCTTAGTTTTCCTTTTTGCTTTCATTTCTTTTGTACATGTAATCCACTGTGCATCTTCCAGGCATTGAACTGGTCCCCATAAATTTTGACCAGGATAAAATTCAAAAGATCGAGGAAAATCATTGTCCTAAAAAAAACTTCATTGTATTTGTGAGAAATTAGTTATTTGGCTTTGCAGAAAGGTCTGTCATTTTTTGTGACAGTGTAAGAAAATGCTATAGTGCAACTGTCAAATAATCTATACTGAACTATAGTAAGTTAGGTTATTTTACAATCAAACTGTAGTATTTTGTTTATGTATACAAAAAGTAACAGAACTTTCCACTGGATCTGATGCTTCACATTTCATTCTTACATTATCACGTTTCTCTTCTAACTGTCTCATCACACGCGAATCCATTCCATTTATAACACATCGTGATCCATCAGGAGTAGTAAGCCATAATTTAAAATGTGCCATTTTTATACCACCAACCCATGAATCCATACAAACCGCTATATCTGTTGGAAATTCCTATAAACATAAACTATTAATTATAGCATATGAGTTACTTTATTCAAAATTGACACTATAAATGCTTTATTACATACTTCCAAAGGTACTAAATCTTCACTTCTAATATTTGTCAGAACCTGTTTAGTACCAATCACTTGAACACAAGCAGTAAGCTCGATATCCCTGCAGTATCCCCTTTGTGTATCTTTTCCCTTGATCATTCGACGTACGACATCTCCTGGCATCAGTGTTCTGTCTGCTAAGTGAACCTAAATGAAACAATAAAATGTTGAAAAACCTTAGTACAAGAGGTCAAACTTATTACATCAGAAATGAATTCAAATTTGAATTTAATATACAGTTGCAAATATCGTTCGTATACAGGTGTCGCTTTAGATAAAATTAAAAACAAATACGATAAGAAAAAAGGAATAACAGTAAACATAAATTACTTTGTACATTGTCCCTTTTACGAACGATGTGCTTATTTTAAGACATCAAATTTTCATTACCTTCTTTGAGCTGACCAATTCTGAGATACCGGAGGGATGCCAGACCGCGCGAATTTCGCCCTTTTTCCTTCTTGGACTCTCTTCACTGTCAGAACTTAGCTCGGACAAACCTGGATCGTCATTTTCCATAACGATCCCGAATATGATATTACCTTTTTTGTCCACACGGTAGACGACATCCTCGTAAAAGTACTGACATTGTATCTCAAAGTTCGTAGCCATCTTTTCTCTGATCACCGAGTACTCACTCCTCGCCGACGACGGCTGACAGAAGGTTCCACGGCGCAACGGTTATGGCGCACGTCGCAAGCAGGGAACTTGACTCCCGACCCCGAACCCGACCCCAACCCCAACTTTAGAATGACCGATTCGAGATGTCTCTTGGCTTCTCACCGATCGAGTTGTTATCGACTTTTTTCAAATCGAGATTGTTTACTTTTCGAACGTTACTTCAAACTTTCAAAGTATGTCCTGACAAAATAGTTTTCATTTAATGCCTCATTACAGATGCGCAAATTTACATAATAATGTTGTATATAGTTGAGGTGTATGCTGCATACATATGAGACGCGTAAATATAAATACGTACACGTGCGCATATATGCATATGATGCATAAATAATTAATACGTCTTTTTTTTTATTAATGCAAATTAATAATAAGGGGCGCGCACGACCTTTGAAATACCGATTTAGCTTAAAATATAGAATATTTTAGAACTATCGTGAAAAGTCAGCGCGCGCATTTTTTCTGAAATAATTTCGTGTCTAAAATTCTTTAGCATAGTAAGAAAGTACTGACGAAATGTTATTGATTTAAATTCTTAAATAAATAAATTTTACCGTTAAGTTTATTAACTTTCAAACTCCTACATTTCCAAATAATGAAATTTTAAAATCCTCAAGTTTCCAAATTTTAAAAAACCTGATATTTTCACAAGTCCAAATTCCTGAAATTCAAAACTTTTCGAAAACACAAATTTCAAATCTTTCAATGTTTGAACTTTTAAAATCAATATATCATGCATTTCTCTTTTTACACTTTCTTTCTCCTACTTTTAATCAGGTAGAAATTAACAAAACTTTCAATGTGCATTTTCTCCTCATTTCATAAAGATGTATGCAATAATTTTGCAAAATTATTACTTCCCGTAATGAGTCTGACGTATTTATATTAAAGTTGAACCAAATTAACATTTCGAACGCCGTACATTCCTCTTGTAAATCTAATGGTTTAAAATAACGAAAGTAGGGAATACATTATTTTCGTAACAATTGCATAACAAAATTATTCAAGTATATAATTCTTTTAAAAATAAAAGTATACATGAATTTCAAAGTCATTTATTATCAGATGTTCTGTAATTGTACGCACAATTGATTGTCTGATAGATACATTTATATTTACATTTGACAATTTTTTTTTAATATAATGAAAGACAAAATATCAATCAGTAATCAATATTAACAAACAATTACATATGCACGAAGAAATATGTACTAATATATATATTATGACTAGTAGGAAGAAATGTATGTGATATAAATTACTTTTACTTTAGTGTATGAAGCTATGCTTTCCTCGCAATTTCTTTTTTTAGAATAGTAGAATAAAATAAAGGATGTGCTTATTTTATAATTAACTAGATTTATGAATAGAAACGTTCTAGGAACACGTGATAATTTGTACATATCATGAAATATCGTTTCCATTATTAAAAAGTACCTTTTTTAAATCTGGTATTCTGATTTTAGATAATTATACTGCAAAATGGGTACGTTGAAATCCTTGACCCAAACTTTGTAATATAGTTTGCACATCATGTTCATTTTGACTATAAAATACATACACTTCGAATTTGGTTGATAAATTACAATTAGTATCTCTGAAAATTGAATTAAAAATATATTCAATACAATTTTACCAATTATTCTATGACTTTTAAATATAAATAAATTAGTAAAAATACTTAAAGATATACTATATTATATTATTTATATTACCCTGCAATGAATGCAAAATAATGAGGAATGTTTTTAGTACGACCACAGGACGAGATTTCCATATAGCTTTGTTTACATATTACCTAACATTTAACCAGAATTTAGAATTATGTTATACAGTTGTATCCATTAATATTTATATTTACATACTTTATCATCACTATCTTGAGTCACTCTAATTCCAATTTCCAAGCATTCAAACTTTACAGGAACTGATTTTAGTTCTTCTGACTTCAGTACTTGCAAAATTGCTCTTTCAATCTGTTTAACATCTCCTTGTGTACCAATATACATAGAACCGCAATATTTAACAGAAAATCCAGCATTTAATGCCTTACTTTCTGGTTTCATTGTTTCGTTTTTCGATTCCTCGTTATGTTGTTCTAAACAAAACCTTTTTAAAATTTTTTTTAAGCCTTCAATGCCTGAATTTCTTATGAGATGTATAATTGGAAGGTATAATTCATTTGTTTTTTTATTACGGTGCTGAAAATCCATTACATAATTATTGTTTTATAGAGTTCAATTAAAAAATATATGGAATTAAATACATACTTTTATTATATGCAGGCATACTGGTTGGCCTACAGACTTTTTCATAATTTTACGCAATTGTCCTTTAGTATTAGACGTTATAGCATTTCCATTTATTTCATCCAATATGTCTCCAATCTCAACTTTATCCTTAGATAATATGAAAAAAAATATTAAAAGGCATTATTGAAAATTTTTGTTATTAAAATACATGATTTTATTTCATGTTTATGTAAAACTTTAAATAATTATTATATTTCTTACATCTTCAGCAGCTACAGAATTTCTGTCCAGATTAATTACCAATGCTTTTCCTTTAATAAAACTATAATAATGAAATAATATTAATTAAAGATATAGAATAGAAAATTTGTATCAATAACTTAAGTTTCTTACCACACAGAAATGCCTAAACTTTTACACGGTACTAATTCCAAAAATAAGCATTCAGGTAATTCCCAAGATTCATCCAAAAAACTTGAATTCCGTAAATTTAATTTAAAATTTAGTTTACTACTTTGTAATAATACTGATAAAAATATTTCACCCAGAATATCATCTCCCAGAATACTGTTTTTGTCATAGTAGTTTATAGCCATTAATGGTGTTCTGACCTATGAAGTTTTGTATATAACAACTATTAATTATTAGATTAATAGTTGTATTAATAACAAATCTTGTATTCAAAATCATTTTTTTTTCATATATACTTAAATAAAAATACATATGTATATTAATAAATAACATAGTTTATATAGAATAACAAATAATTAAAGAAATATAATTTGGTTATACCAGCATTTCAACTGGCACATGAAGGCACTTTCGTATCAAACATGTTCTAATTAAAAGTCTAAGACGTCCAGTTGCTGTATGTACTTTTGGAGATTGTTTTACTTGTTCAACTACCAAGGAGTAGGTACAGCAGGAACTAAAACAGTATCATTTTAATTTTTAAAACTATAAAATATGTATTAGATCAGCCGTGATCTATTTGTTTTATAATCATTGAAGTTTGCCACTATTACATATGGTACAAATGGATTAGAAACAGTGACAACTGCAGTAAGTATTTGCTGAGAATTTGCATTATGTAAAATGACAGTTTTTAAATTAATTAATTTATTACAGACATTACAAGTGAATAATGATTTGACAGTTTTAAAGATAGTGATTTAAGCTAGGAATATAAGCCCTGTTTAAGTTAGTAATTCAAAATTCATTCAACTACTATGAATAATTCAACTACTATTCACCATGTACATTCACCATAGTCTGCAAGCAGGTATTAACTGCATGCTTTATATGTAGCTTCACGGCAGACCTAATATGAATGTATTTTTAAATAAAATATTATTTATTTTAATGTGCAAATTACAAAACAATGGAAAGAAGTTGAAATAAATCATAAACTGTTTCTTTCCAGAAAATAATTTACTATTTTTTATAGACCTAAAATTTTTCTCCGTAATTTCTTCTAACCAATACCAAGCATCAGGTAACTTTGGAAAACCTAAAGTACTTAAGCGTAGTAGTATGCCTTTTTGAAAACATTTTTCTAAACATTTACAAAAGGCAGGCAGATCTTCATTTTCATCGTCAATCTCTTTTCCATGTTCTGTTAATTTCCGTGTCCACCCTAAAAGTATATTAATATTATAACAAATTTGATTACATAAAATTGTACCATATATCATTATATTCCACGTAAGCTTTTTCTTTAATTAATTTATTTATTAATTAATTATTTACACACTTTGCTAAAAAGAAAATAATATTATATAAATACATAAAAATATATGTTATTTTTCTAACGGTTATGAATGATTATTCAACTTTGGACAATGAAAATATTAATAAACATTCCTGACAGGAAGATTATTAACTGTCACTTTCGTAATAAAACATTTTTTTAACCTTTAAAAAAGGAAACTTGTTTATAATTACCTTTTAATTCTTTGATAAGGGGATTTGAGACCGTCATCGCATTATTAATCAAAATTATTTTATAAATCTGTGAATGTTTCAATAAATCAATTTAATTATCGATTAGAAATAATCGAAGTGTTTATCATTTTTATTCACTTTAAATGACGTTTAATGATGCCAACAATATTTGTGGGTAATAAGTTTCCATGCATACAGTATACATCATCCGGAAATATACATGTAGTCATTATATACAGATAATCCTAAACTGCCCTAACACATTTGAAAAATTCAATAATTTCATTTCTCATGGACTGTGAAATGATTTCTTTTCTAAGAAAGATTTTTCTTTTTTATCTGCATTGACTTGCAAACTTTTTATATAATTCTACATTTTTAATTTAAGATCGGAAAGAAATTGAGAGAAACAATTTTGATTACTTGGTCTACTTTAAAATTGGATGCTGTATATATGCACTGACAATATGTATTTATATTTTACTAGGTCTGTTTGATTAGGCGCTCCGCGCCTAACCTAACAATGTTGAGCGAGCGAGTAAATTTCACGCTAAAGCAAAAATAGTCAACCGTGTCATCCGGTTGAATTGGTTGAGTGGTGCAAGAGAAAAGCGTGGACAAAAAAGTTGAAAAGTCAAGTACATAAGCGCGAGCAAATTCAATTTTGCATTAAAGTCTACGAGGATATGGTTTTTCGGTAATTATTACTCCGTGGCATGCGCGGGCGGCGCGTAGGAGGAATATACACGACAATGAGTATGCAAGATCGTTAATTACTCACTTTCTGAGTACAGTTTATGAACTTTTATGATTAAAGAATGGACAGCAATGCATTAT